GGGCCGGAGGCGATCCCCTTTTTTTGCCTCAAATGGGTACCCCCCCCCCCCCCCCCAAAGAAACCGGGGTTTCGCAAGCGGACGGTTTGGCGACCCCCCCCCACCCCCCCCCCCCCCCCTCCAACACCCCCCCACTTTTTTCCCCCCCCCCCCCCTACCCCCCACCTCACCCCCCCCTCCCCTTCCTGATCCCCCCCTCCCCCTGCCTCTCCACAGAAAAATATGGTGAGCTGGCGTGAGCACGGCCCAACATGCATTACACGAGCCGAAGAGTCCAAGCTGGAACCTAAACCTTAAACCTTAAACCTTAAGCCCGAAGCACTGAACCCTCAAACCTTCAACAAAGCCCCCTCCCCTGCACCCCCCCCCCCCCTCCCCCCTTCCCCCCCGCCCCCATTCCCCCCCACCCCCCTACCCCCCCTGAGGGGCCTGGCTCAACCCTACGATCAATCCAAGCCGAACAGTCTCTTGAACCCTAAACCCAAAAAAACCTTAAACCCCAAAGCGTGAACCTTGAGCCCTAAGCCCTCAATCCTAAACTAACCCTCAACCCTAAACCCCAAACCATAGACCATAAACCCGGAACCCTAAACCCTAAACCCAACCCTTATTGCTTGCGACTTGGGCGCTGCTCACGCGGATGCGCTGGGCCGGGCCGAGGCGGGTCGCGTAGCGTTAAAATTAATATTCTCTTCACGTTTAACCTTGTAATGAGGCAGCTTTTGGCTTCACGGTCTAACTCTTGATTTACCCACGAAGTAACCGCACCCTTGATTCCCGCGTCTCAATGAATTGGATGAAAGGTCAAGTGCGGATTTCCTGTGTCTTAAAGGGGCGAGTTCTCCAGGGTCTTTGAGAGCGTACGGAGATAAATCTGATGCTCTAAAGACAATGAATTCAAATCATTCTCTACATCATCCATTTGGGGCACTCGAAATCATCGATATGGGTTGCAGACTTGAAATACGACGCATCGCCACGAAACGATTGTCCAGCGAAAAGATACCTCTCTCTTTTCGGTCTTATATTGGATCACGAATCAGGCTTAATTGGTGCTTTTGGGAGCAGAAGACTCTCGCACCGCATTCGAGCTTTGAAAAATATTACATGCAGTTTTTGGGATCAATCCGAGAGGCCCATGAATTCGCCAGCCCCAAGCCCCAACCGTAAACCCTACACCCCAACCCAGACTCCCAAATATGCCGTTTTCAGCTCCAGCTCAGCTCATTCGGCCGGCATCGGCCGCCACAGCTGGTCGGGTGGCCTTTGCTCTGCAATTGAAGGAAGTGTTTAGGGCTTTAGCGTTCGGGGGTGTTTAGGGATTTAGGGCTTCTAGGGGATTTAGATTTAGAATCAGGGTTCGGGGGTGTTTAGGGTTTAGGGGTTATAGGGGATTTCGATTTTGAATCAGAGGTAGGGTTCAGGGTTTGGGTGTTTTTGGATATTCTTACTAGGGTTTTAGGAATTCCCGCTTTTAGCCTATAAGGCTTAGGGCTTTCATTGAGAGGTTCCGACACTTGCTCACACGAGATTCGGCTCCCTAACAATCCCGCGACGATCCTCAACCTTCAAACCAAGCCCGGTATAGGGCTTGCAAGTTTTAGGGCCTGTTTAGGGGCCTAGGGCTTGCTGTACCCCACGGTGCGTAACGTTACGAGGGATTGACAAGAACAGGGGGGGGAAGATGCCCTGACACCCAACACCCTAAATCCGAAATCACAAGCGAAGTTCTCCTAGTTGAACAGTCGAACCCTATATCACCCCTGCAAGCCATAGACACTAGCCAGACTCAGAAACCTCCTAAACCTCCTAAACCTGAAGAGTTCACTGAATCGTCAGGTCGCCTGTCAATGAGCCATCCGACGCCAGCTCCTGTGTCTGATTCTGCTCGAAGTACCTCGTTCCCAGAACGTGGGGTTTAGGGCTCTTTGGGGTGAAGGTTTTGGGCTTTGGGGGTTAGGAATGACCTTGTCTACCGTAGTGGTTTAGTTTGCTTTCTTTTTGTCTTGGGTCTAGGGTTTGTTGGGCTTTTCGGGTTGACAGTTGATGGGTTTGCCCCAATAAGATCCACTTTTGGTCAGAGTTTGATATTATGGCACTTTCTCGCAGCATGAGCATTAACATGTCCTCGACTCGCCAACCCCTGAACCGTAAACCCTAACCCTAAACCCTAAACCCGAAACCCTAAACCCTAAGCCCTAAACCCATGCCATGCAAACATCTCTTTGCGCAGGCACCATGAGAGCTCTCACACGCCATAGAAAGTTCACCCTGATTTCGGCAGTTGAGGTGGTGTAGCAGGGTTCGGAAGTTGCATCCCAATGACTCAATGGACACCTTCAGCTGAATGTCAAACTGGATGAGCTCAGTACTAATTTGTGGTGTTTGTGGTGTTTGTGTTGTAGTCTCGTAATCGTAAGCCCTATAAGCCCTGCAAGGCCTGTAAGCCCTTTCAGCCCTTTATGCGCCCGCGTTACACCACGGACCACGAGGCGGGGGGAGAGAGAAACCCTCAACCTAAACCCTAAATCCTGAACCATAAGCCCTAAAACCTAAACCCAGCGGGGGAGAAGGGTAAACCCGAAACCTTGACCGCTTTAACCCTGAACCGTAAACCCCGCACGAACCACAAGGGGGAAAGGGGAAAGCATAAACCTACCGTTACCCCAAACCTTGAACCCTGAACTCTAAACCGACCGTCAGCCTAACCCTAAACCCTAAACGCATGAACCACAGACCATCAACCACAGCGGGGGGGGGGGGGGGATTCCATTGCAAAGGGGGGGGGGGGGGAGGGGGGAGGGCGGGGGGGCAGGGGGAGGGCGGGGGCAGGGGAGGGGAAGGCTATGATGGGGGGGGAGGGCGAGTCTATGCTGGCTCCTCTAAGCCCTATACGCCCTGTAACCCCCAAGCCCTACAAGCCCTACAAGCCCCGTAAGCCCTCTAAGCCCTCTAACCCCCATACGCCCTAATCCCTCAACCACCGCTCTCAAGAGTTGAGCCCCTGGCCTTCAGCGTCAGGGCTAGCTCTACAGCAGCCTCTGCGTCGTCCAGGTCGATCTGGAAGCTGCGGAAGCCTGCGACAGGTGGGTGCTTGGGTTCGGGTCTGTGGTTTAGGGTTTAGGGTTTAGGGGTTTAGGGTTTAGGGTCTAGGGTTTAGGGTCATGCATGATGCCGACGCGTGAGCCCACAACCCGAAATCCAAGCGAATTCAGGGATTTCTCCGGCTAGGCGCACGCGACCAGTGACGACCGACTAAGATCTCAGTTGCTCCCCATAAGCCGCCAACTACTAGCCCCATTCCCAAACCAGAGACCCTAAACCCTAAACCCTAAACCCTAAACCCCAAATCTGAAACCCTAAACCCCTAAAACCTAAACCCAGCAGCCTTGGGCATGGCATGCGTCCGTCAGCAAGATGATCAGAACCTGGCAACGTTCGGATAAATGCTGCGGGAAGGCTTTTGGAGGGCTGGGCGCTTTCGGTTCGGTTCCCTCAGTGAGGGAAGGCTTTTGGAGGGTTGGGAGCTTTCGAGGCTGAGGCGCGTTAAGGGCTCAAGGTTCTTTCAGTGGTTTTCAGGCTTTTTGGGTGTAAGGGTGTACAGGGGGTTCCAGAGGTTGAGGGTTTTGGGAGTTACAGGCCGAGGGTGGTGGACTTTTTGGGGTGAAGGGTCTTGAGAAGCTCCAGAGACTTCAGGCCACTTCCTGCTTACTCTCGGAACGAGCTGTTGTGGAGTGAAGGAATGCGACGATGGTCTGGCCCAGTCCGCTAGAAGCTTTAAAGCCGCAAAAAGCCATGCCACACTGGTGAAACACCAAGCCACGGGTTGAGCCTGACAGCTCAGCAATACTGCTTTTGAAAGGCTGCACGCTGGCAAGGAGCCACAGACAACACACATCGCCACTCGTTTGGCTTTGAACCACCAACATTGCGTTACGTCGCGGTGTTCCACACCTCTGTTTTGCAAGTATGCTGTTGTTGAATTAAAATACAACGACCATGTCGTAAGCCCGCAATTTTTCGGATTGCTAAGCAAGAAGATACGAAAGACTAGAGACAATAAGGAACCACTGTGGATCAACCCCGAAACCCCGAACTCCCCCCGTCGGGTTCAGGTTGCAAGGCTGCAGCCCCTCAAAGCATGACAGCCATGCTCGGCCATCGAGTTGCAAGGCGATCTCCTGTAGCGGGACCGCCTGACACAAGAGACTCAACTTTTTTGAAGCCGCAGCCCTAAACCCCAAACCCTAGACCCCCTACAGTATCTAGCCTATAACCCAGTAACCCTAAAACCAATTCATAACCCAACAACCCTACAATGCGCAACCCTACAGCCCGAGAAGCCCCTAAGCCTGAACCCTCTAGCCCTTGCCTCAAATGTAATCGGGGCTTTTCGGCTGGACTCCCAGAGTTTTGGGATGTGGGCTTTAGGGTTTGGGGGTCAGAGTTTCAGGATTTGGGATTTAGGGCTGAGGGCCCATGCGCTTGTAGACTTGAAGTTCCCAAAAGCAAGTCATCGGATTCGGGTCGACCTCAACATTACTTCATCATACAAGCCCTAAAACCTTAAAGCCCTCAAGCCCTAAACCCTGAACCCTAAAACCCCAAACCCTAAGCCCTAAAACCCTGAACCCTTCAAGAAAGGCCTCTGAATCCACGTACAGCTGCCGGCCCTCCAACCTGACGAGCATCACCTGGCCGTTGACCACCTTGGATGGCTTCGCCAAGACTTCGAGGGGTTAAAGGGTTTACGGGGTTGAAGGGCTTGCATAGGCTGTAAAAGGACTTACGGGGTTTGTGGGGTTTGCAAGGCTTGTAGGGTTCAAAGCACATACAGGGTGTATAGGGTTTACAAGGCTTGTAGGATTTAAAGGGCTTACAGAGTTTACAGGGGCTTGTGTTCTTTCTGGCTTTGAAGGGCTTATGAGGCTTGTAGGGTTTGCAAGGCTTATGGGGTGTGATAGGGCTTCGGGCTTATTGGGTTGACAGGGTTTTGTACGGCTTACACCCGATACCAACACCCCATGCTGCAGGCCAGATACCAGTCGCATGCCATTGGCCGACAGCACGGCAGCCTTGGCAGGACCAGGAGATTTCCAAGTTTTCTAAGCACTTTGTTTGAAGCTCCAGACAGGAGAGCCCGAAGTCCTAACCCTAAACCCTCAACCCGAAATTGGGGTTCCTCTAAATCCTGCTTCAATCCAAGGCGGCAGCCCATGAGGCCGTGATCTTCTGAGCTCTTCTCATCATCCTGTGCAGCAAACTCTCACGCTTGTCCCCCTTAAACGTGGCTGGTTCGTAGTAGGTTTTGAGGGAATGAGGTACCCTATATCATCCCCTCCAAGGGTATATGTATATATATATATATAGGGCCCTAAACCCTCTTAAGGGGGAGTGGTACAGTCAATCCCCAATGATCACCGGCCCATACGAACCTCCCCCTGTCTCAGACATACCGCTTTTGTAAGTGCAGCAGTAGGTATACCTATCATACCTCCCCCTGAACCCGACTAAGAACCCCTCACCAAACTTGGCTCCTGAAGTTCGCTGCGTGCGACAGTCCGCCCTTGACACGCCGTCGGGGCCGCCGCTCTAGAGCCTCCCAAGGGAAGTATACATCTCTTAGGGGGGGGGCAGGGGTAGGGTTTGGGGTTTCAGGTTTGAGGTTTGGGGTGTAGGGTGGGATGGGGGCAAGGTGGGCTCGAGGTGGACCTCGTAAAGCTCTCCTTGCTAGGGCTCCAGGGAGAGATCGGGGCTTTTAAGGGTTCGCCTTTGAACATTTGGCCTGTCTTCTCGCACGCTGGATAGGGGCTTAACTTGACTCAAGAACGAATGCTGGTGTCACTTTTCGGTTCTGCATACGTCCCATGTTTCCTTTAGATGGATGGTTGGTGCTAATGCTTTCGAGTACTTTGGTTACTCGATGCTACAACCGTGAACAAACATTAGATACTTCAACTGTGAATGAACATGATGTATGAACTAGTTGTTTAGTGCTCCAATGTTCCGCAAACCTCACATGTTTAATTGGTGAATCTGCATGGTTTTGCTTGCTGCTTGTGTTGTTGACAACCTATACCTAGACATATGTGTTTTGACACGTTTTGTCGTGAAAGTTTGCAGTTGCTTATGGCGCAATGCGTTTCCTTTTGATGATGTTGAATGTAACATCGATGATTCCAAGTTGTTCGTTATCGGAGAAAATTTCCCAGTTCATAGCTTGACCGTGCTTCTCATATGAACAAACGATATAGAGGTTGAAATTAAAAATGCAAACGTTGCAAATGGGACTACAACACATGGATACACGCACAATTTCACTAGATGCTGCAGGGCAACATCTTACACTCCCAAGTTGCAAGCGGTACACCTTCAACAGATCGACTGGCACAAAGCTACTTTGGGTTGCCCAAGCGCTTGCTAACTCCTTGCTGCTCCTAAACCCGAAACCCTAAACCCTAAACCCGAAACCCTAAACCCGTTTATGATTCAAGACTGAGGCCTTTCCGGCTTAACGCCACGCGGCGAAACTTTGTCAAACCGTGAAGCTCTGACCTACACCCCGGCAAAAAGCCCAAAAACCCAAACTCTGAAACTCCAAAGCTTAAGGATGCTCTGAGTTGAGCCCTAAACCCCTAGCCCTAAACCCTAAACCCTAAACCCTAAACCCTAAACCCTAAACCCTAAACCCCAAACCCGAAACCCTAAACCCTAAACGGCCCTAAACCCTAAACTTCCAAGGCGGGTGAGGCTCAACTCCCCAGGGCGGAGTCGTAACCCCCTTGCCTCTTCGCGCAGGAGCCGGCCGGGCGCCTCCTGCGCCAGATTCGATGTCAGGTAGATGGGTTTAGGGTTTAGGCGGTTTAGGGGTCAGGGTTTAGGGTTTAGGGTTTAGGGTTTAGGGTTTAGGGTTTAGGGTTTAGGGCTTAGGGTTTAGGGTTTAGGGGAGGTGCAAGTTGAACTCTGAGGCCTACCTGGGAGTCTACTTACCTGCAGTTTAGAAGGAACTGCCCCTTCATTAGCAGGTATAACCCATCGAACTTCAGGTAAGGAGAGTCCCAGGTAAACCCTGAACCTGGAAAACTCCAGACACTAGGGCCTATTGAGAGTCTTTCTTGAAGTCAAGGGGCTGCTTTTTCGTTAGTTGCTTGAGGGTCTCCCCTACTGCGGGCTTTGTGGCCACAGCGCCCCAAACTCTCCTTCCTCCTTGCCCGCCTCCGCTTCTGCAAGGAACTCGTCATCATCCAGTGGGCTCCTCAAATGGCTCAATGTCGCTGTTGCTAGGGTCCAGGGTTTCAAACTGCCTTATGACACCTTAGCGTCTCACCCCCCAGGCGCCTAGGATTCATACTCCCCTCCCCCCAAAAGCTTGGGGAAACTGTCAGGACTCTTTGCAGGGAGCAAGGTGCTCACTCAGGACTGGTATACACGACCCTGCTTGAGGGGGAAAGTCGTTGAGTGCAAGATCACGCAACTTTTGAAATTGTCAAGTCTCAGTCCGAAAAGGAGTTGGTTTTGGTGGACGGGTTGCCGTAGTTGGCGCATGGCGCATCTCGTCAGTAAAGGCAGGGGCCATACATCATCAGGGACTTGACAGCCCTTGTTCCACCGTGCACAAGATTCTGCAGCCTATCACCACTCTACGACAACAAAGCCCAAAGCTTGCCAGCTTCGCGTCTTGGGCTCGAAAAGGCCCTCTTCTAGCTCATGCCCAGAAAGGTCTATGCTGCAAGCCGTGTCTCCACACGACTGAGCCCCTAAAGCGGTGCCCATCAGGACTGGGACACAACCACCTAGTCATTTCTCTCAACTAGAGTCTTTCTGGGGTCCTTCTGATAAGGCCGGCCCAGTACTTAGGGTACCCCAACAGGGACCCTAACTAGAGAACTCACCACCTGTCAACAGAGCGGGAGGTAGGAGAGCCTGCGAAGCGGGAGTGCTTCTTCATTTCCCACGTCACACAGCCATCCTCCTCCTGATTGAAGCCCCCAAGCCAAAGATGCACAAAAAACTCTAACCCCCAAAACCCCAAACCTCAAGAAAACCCAAGCCCTTTCAGCTCAAGTCCTCGACCCCAGAAGCGAGGCCCCAAAACCGAAACTGAGCCCCAAAAGTCCCGAAGCCTCTCCTGGTTGGCGAGTCGAGGAGGGGCTCCTGCAGCTTGCAAAAAGAACGGAACGAGGGAGTTTGCAGGGATGGAAATTGGGCCTTAGGATGGTTTACGGGGGGTTTAGGGAGGGAATTCTTGGGCCGGCGCATGCAATGGGGGAGAGAGAGAGAGAGAGAGAGCGCGAGAGGGCGAGAGAGAGAAAGAGAGAGAGAGAGAGAGAGAGAGAGAGAAGAAAAAAGGGAGGGAGAGCGGGAGAGGCGGTGTGCTAGAGCTAGAGCAAGATCTGGAGAGAGGGACTGAGCTTCTCGCCTTGACTCTGGACCCTTCTTCTGATTACTTCTCTCTGAGCCCCTGCCCTCAAGCCGAAGTACCCGGAAGATTCCCCCACTCAACGCACCGATGCAATCGGTATAGCGCCTTCGGGTCTGCGTTGGACAGGCCCCCGGGACGCCAACAAGGCCTGATTCAGATGATGCGTTTGCGCTGCACCTATCATGGCTAGCTCAGACTATTTGCAGGGACTCCGCTCACCTGTCTTCATCGAATAAACACCCTGCTGCAAACAAAGATGCAGAATGCGCCTGGGCACCCAAACCATGGCAGAGAAAGCCACCAGCACCTCGGCACAAACCATTGGCTGTGCTACGTGCCTTGAGCGGAAGATAGTGTTTGATGTCTGTCTGAGTCTACATTTCTTTCTATCCAAGCACTTCTTTCCTTAGTGCTACTCATCCACTTGAAGTGGATGTTTTATGTTTTGACATTATGCAAAGCAATCACCACGTAGACATGCAGAGCATCTGGACACTCCAGAGCAAGAGCAGCGGCCTGACCTTCAGCAACGAGGATCGGAGCCTCTGCGGCATCACTGAGTCACCAGCAGCGAGCAGCGAAACAGCACTATGAAGTACCGACGCTAAAACATCAGCGGCATCACCGGGCTCCCATGTTCACAAGCAGAGAACCTTGAAGCAGCGAGCGCCGGAGCATCAGCAGCATCATTGGGCATCCATTTACATTTCACATGTACCGCACCTTGAAGCACCGAGCGTCAGAGCATCAGCGACATCACTTAGCAGCATCATTGGGCGTCCATTTCACATGTACCGCACCTTGAAGCACGGAGCATGGAAAGATGAGGTGGGTCAATAATCAGGTCAAGTCTTCAGCCTGTTTAACTCATCCGAGTGCAAGAAAGCAGCAAGTTTAAGGTCCAAATGCCAAAAACCCTAAACCCTCAAGGTTTAAGGTCCAAATCCCAAAAACCTTAAACCCTCAACGTTTAAGGTCAAAATGCCAAAAACCCTAAACCCTCAACCTTGTAAAACCTAAGCCCGACCCGAAAACCTAAGCCCTAAACTCCAATTCGGGTTTAGATCCCAGGCCCAAGTGTCTCAGTGCGGCACGGCCGTGCCAACCCCGAGCGTTCCCCACGGTGCACCTTTAGGCTGGGGTTCAGGGGAAGGCTGACGATGATCTGAAATTTGTATACATATCTCCAGTCTATATGTATATATGTAGAACTGTATATACTACGTGTGTGTATATGCATATATATATAGGAATATCTGTCTATATATATATATATATACAGATATACATATGTTGTGTATGCACCCATATGGTCAAAACAACGGATTATTGCATTCGGGCTGTTCTGGTTGGTGCGTCTTTTGTTTGGGGGGGGCTCCAAGTTCCCCTTCGGCGTGGGGTTGTTCGATTTTAGTCAACCATGCTCCTCGCCTCCCGGTGTCCCGCCCGGTGTCCTGGGCCTGGTCCATGGAGCGCCCACCCCCGCAAAAGCCCACAGAGAGTCCCGCCGAGTACCCCCGTTGTGCCGAGTGTCCCTGGAGTGCCCCCACTGGCGCAGAGAAGCCTACAAACCTCCCGCCGAGTGGCCCAAGCCGCAGAGAATCCTTGGAGCATTTTCGGAGAGACCTGCCAAGCATCCTTGTAGTAGCACCCCCAGAGAAGCCTGCAAGAGTCCCGCCGAGTCTCACTGCAGTGCCCAACATCAAAGAACCCGCGGAGAGTCCGTAAAAATTGCTTGTCCGAAAACGGATCACAAAAAGTAGCTGTAGGGTGGGGATGATCGAAGAAAAACTCTAGGGTTTGCCGTCTGCGCGACATAGGACACCGTCAGGACTTTAAGCTAGTAGTTCTATGTTCTTTCAGCTAGGACCCCAAATCCGAGAACCCGACACGACTGAACCCCCTCCCACCTTCCAGTAGATCCGATTGGATGCCGTAGCTATAGGCCTGGAGAACCTGACAGGGAGAGTGCAGTTGGAGGCATATGCAGAGCCAGAGACTAATTACACAAGAGTTCCATCATGCCTGAGTGAGTTTCAATAAGAGCGAGTTTCAATAATTCGATGTCGTGGTTAAACCATCGGGGGTTAAACCTCACTCAGCACAAGCCGAATCTGAGCCGGCGCGCCATCACGAGAGAGATGGAGATGCCGGCAATCGCTGGCATGGAAACCTTTGCAGGTTCAGGCCGAAAACGCTATGGTGCCCACGTGTAAGCAGAAAAAGTGTGCATGCACCCAGAGTTTGACCTAAGCCGCCTTAGCCGAAACAGTATCGTTTCGGTCTAGGGCTGTTGGGGCGTAGATGGCTCCTGCCCCTGTTCTGCTTGTCAAGATCCGTCTGGCAATCTGCCAAAGGGTCTTGTAAGCCCAACACGCTTAACCCTAAACCCTAAACCCTAAACCCTAAACCCTAAACCCTAAACCCAAAACTCTTGTAAGCCCCACCCCTGCGCCCCGAAGCCTCAAACCAGAAGAAAGCACCCCACCAAAAACAATATTAGAGGCTTGTTCTTCCTGGTGCTTTGTAGTAAGGAACTGGGGAGCTAGGTCGAATACAGCCCCTTAAAGGGCTATAGGGGGATGAAGGGCGCGCGATCGGAAATCCTTCAGAACTCGTACGATTTTGCCGGGTCATTGTCTCAGGGTCGCCTTGAAATGGAAGCCCCTCGGCTTGGAGCCCCACCCGCCCTGAGGCGTCGAGCGTGAGTAGGCCCGTCCTCTTTGGGGAAGTGGGGAGGGGAGCAAGCGGCCCTTGGGAGGGTTTAGGGTTTCGGGCTTAGGGTTCGGTTCATAGGGTTAGGGGATTTCAGGGAGAGGGTTTAGGGGTTGAGGCTTAGGGGTTATAGGATTTACAGGATTTTTAGGGATAGCTGGGTGGACTGGAGAGTCTCGCGGCCGGATCAAGATGATGGGAACAGGAGTAATTACAGGAGACGAGTGCTTGGAGAACCAGGCAGCTCCTGGGTTTAGGATTTAGGGTTGAGGGTTGAGGGTTTATGTATCGGGTGTAGGCTGACGCACTGACGCACCCGGTTTGTGTTTGAGATCAGGAATGTGTTGCTAAAGCCTAAAGCCTAAAGCCTAAACCCTAAACTCTAAACCCTAAACCCTAAATAACCCTTAACCTTAACCCCCAAACCTTATACACACGAACTATAGAGGCCTCCTTCGCATGAGAACTGAAGAAGCCCCACTGTGAGCGTAAACTAGACAGGTTCCTGCTGACTGATCACCCTAAAAGCGGTTTCGTGCGGAACTGCAGTCGCATTCCCAGATATTCAGTGTATGAACGACTTGTTCTTGTTGTACCTCAAGGCCCCAAACCTTCAAGCAACCCTCACGCCAAATCCGAAGCTCTGCTCGAGCTCGCTTTACCATGCACCTGACACCCTCGGTCCCGCAAGCCCCGAGCCGTGCCCCCGCAGGCGTGAGTAGTGAGTGCTTGCCTGACCTGCTCCCTAGACCCTACAGACTCCAAGCTTACGATCCCTGACAGTCTCAAGTTTGCAGGGTCATTCTTCGGGGCTGCAACCCTAACCCCTAAACCCTAAACCCTAAACCCAAAACCCAAAACCCTAAACCCTCAACCCTCAACCCTCAACCGGGCTGTTCGCCCTCTCCTCCACGTTTTCGAGTTGACTGGCGAATGGCCTGTCATCTTGCGGATCCTGAACGCAAGCAAAGACATTCGCCAAAGGCCTTTGGGGGCTGGGGTCGAGCTCTTGAGGGTGTTTATGAGAAGTTTAGGGTTTAGGGTTTAGGGTTTAGGGTTTAGGGTTTAGGGTTTAGGGTTTAGGGTTTAGGGTTTAGGGTTGTTATAAGAGCTTGGTTGTGGATGTGAGGTGCAGTTGTTGGGGTTAATGTCTCCTGAGCTGCGGGTATACAGTTGCACTACATCTCCAGCATGCGTCCCCAAACCTCCCCACCCCCGAGACCCTTTAGGGTTTAGGGTTTAGGGTTTAGGGTTTAGGGATGTATACATCCCGAAACCCGAAAGAGCCTTCTTAGATTCTCAGGCTCTAGCCTGGACCTCTCCATTGCGCACGGCCAGCTCTGACCGGCAGCTTTTTTCTGTACAGACTGCAGCGTTGGCAGGATAGAGGATTCAAGGCTGGGAGTGTCGAGGTTTTTCGGCTTGGGGTCTTACGAGCTTAGTGAGTCGGGCGTTGAAAAGTTTCGGTTTTCTCTTTTTGTGCTTCGAGCAGAGGGTTCCTAGTTCCTACCATTAGGCAGTAGGATCTACTGGGCTTCGGGCCCACGAAAGGGCTTTCTCTAAGCCACTCTAAACCCAACATCCTCCCAAAAAAACCTCAACCTACACCCTCTACACTTAATGCTCAAGGTCCAAAGCTGAAGCTTTCAACCCATGGGCCCTGCCCACCCTAGATTTAAGAACCCTAAAAAACACCCAATCCTAGGGATGTCGCGCGCCCTCACTTTGGAGAAGCGGCCCGCTGCTTTCGAGAGAAAAGGGCGAGAGGTGTGGGGCTTTAGGTTCATGGGGCTTGGTTCGGTTTAGGATGAATAGGGTTTAGGGATTAGGGATTAGGGTTTAGGGTTTAGGGGTTTAGGGGTTAGGGTTTAGGGGTTTAGGGTTTAGGGTTTAGGGTTTAGGGTTCAGGGTTTAGGGTTTAGGGTTTAGGGGTTAGGGGTTTAGGGGTTTAGGGGTTTAGGGGTTTAGGGGTTTAGGGGTCAGGGGTTAGGGTTTGGGGCTAAGGGCTGAACAGTTTAAGGGTTCAGGGATTGGGGCTCGGGGTTTAAGGGTTTTGAGGGTTTTGAGGGTCTTGAGGCTGCGAGACGTAGGGTTTGGCTGGAGTTTCAGGGGGCCCAGGGGCTGAAACCTCGAATTAAGGCTTTGGCAAGCAGACAGACTTGAAGATCAGGAGTGGGCGGGGATGATGTCTGAAAGGATGGCCCCAAACGGTCTCTTCACCATAGCCACCCGCGTCCCTCACCGTCTTCGAAGAAGGTTGAGGATCTAGGGTTTCGGGGTTTGGAGTCTGGTCCACATGACCCCCCCCCCCCAAAAAAAAAAAAAAAATCCACTGTACGACACATCATCGCGAGGCATGTGGGGACATCGGCAGCAAAGGAGCCCGGGCGTTAAAGAAGCTTTCCGATTCAAGTGTTTAGGGTTTCGGGTTTAGGGTTTAGGGTTAAAGGTTTAGGGAGTTGTATAGCAACGTTTCGAGCCCCTTTTGCACCACGCGTGCAGCCGCAGGACGGCAAGCTCAGCTTCTCCAGACCAGGAGGGCTCTCAACGCGTCGCTCCTCCTGGCCGAGTTCCCATTTGCATGCTCACCCTAAATTCTACTGGTTGATTTATAAGAGCCGTGCCTACAGCAAGGCCAACAGTAGAAATATCTGGAATATACCAAGAAAACAGAGAGCGGGTTGGACTGTGAGCAAGGTGTGCTGAAGACACCACACTGTTGACTCCACGCTGAGTCTTTGTATGCGCTTTGCGGGCATATGACTTGTGGGCCGGGCAACTTACTGCGAGGCTCAACGAAACGAGCAAACGAGAGTTGTACCCGGGATCAAACGACTCGCGTGGATCATGATTTGCGTGATTGGTAGCCGGGAAAAGAACAAAAGTAGCGTCGACCAGTGCGCTGGCTGGGCCTGCGACCTGTCTAGATACGGTTTGTTGGCCACCCTTAAACTGTTCAACCCTTAGCCCCAAACCCTAAACCCTAAACCCTGACCCCTGACCCCTGACCCCTGACCCCTAAACCCTAAACCCTAAACCCTATTCGTACTGGGGACTGGGGACGCCGCCCCACATCGACCAGAACTACTAGGAACATACGAATGGAGCAGGAGTGCGAGTACCAACCGACGGACTCGATGACCGAAGCAGAGTCATGGAGTGTCACAGCAACAGAAGCTTGATACTGACCAACGGAGCATGTCACAGACTCTGACAGTTATTATTATTATGACTATTACTATTATTATTATTATTACGATTATTCTCATTACATATTAATTACTATGACTATTATTATTAAGGTATAGGGAGTGTAAGAGGGGACCCCCTACTCCCAAATAAAGAAAGCTCTCGGAAGTCCCTGGGTGGATCCCACGGCCTGCAGTGGGAAGGCTCAGAACGCCTCCTCCTTCCCGAAGTTCTTCAGCCGGGAGATGAGGGTGCGAGCCGCCTGTCGAGCCTTTCGGGGTTTAGGGTGTATTGTTTAGGGTTTAGGGTTTAGGGTTTGGGGTTTAGGGTTTAGGGTTTAGGGTTTAGGGTTTAGGGTTTAGGGGGGGGGGGGGGCTCTCTAGTGTTGGGGGGGGGGGGAGGGGGAGGAGGTATTTGGGGCTCGAGGAGGTTCAAGGTGGCTTACAGGGTCTCAAGAGGCCCCGAACCTCAACCTCAACAAGGCTGTACTTGGCTGCACTTAGCAGGGTAGCTATAAATTTAGTTTTTAGCTGCCTTATTAAGAAACCCAATAAACCCAAAAAGGCTAAGGATCTAAAGTTACAGTAAAGCAGCACAAAGTGTAGATCCAGGCCGACAGTGTCACAGAATTGCTTCACGAAAGCCGTTCAACAGCTCAGAGGTTTCGGGGTACAGCCAAAGCCCGCCAAACCATGCCCATCTGCGCATGCTCAGAAAATCTGAGTCCTGCATGACCTCGCACCAGTCAAATAATCTTAGTGGTCGGCAGGCAGCAAGCAGCAGTCGTCTGCGGACCTCTTGAACCTAAACCCTAATCCCGAAACCCCAAACCTCAAACCCCAAACCCTATAACCTCCATAACCCTAAACCAAAGCATAAACCAAAAACCTCACAGAACTCCGAATCACTCGCAGCAATCCCCAAAGCCTGAAAGATCGACAGGCCAAACAAGCCTTGAAACATCCTGACATCCGGAACCTTGCACCCTATACCAGTTTTTTGAAATCCGAAGCCCTGAGCCCTATACCAGTTTGTCAGAGTCCTTCAGAAGCAATTTGGCCCTAAAAGCCTACCGCTAACAACCCTGAGCCCCTGCGGCTGCGTATGGTCCGAGCTGGCCTTGGCCCGGTTGGACTTCCTTGCCGCCTTGATGTAGTTGGACGGAGTCATGGCTGGGAAGACGAAGACTGCCAGGGTTTAGGGTTTAGGGTTTAGGGTTTAGGGTTTAGGGTTTAGGGTTTAGGGTTTAGGGTTTAGGGGGGG